GAACAAGAGAGCTTTGCCACACATCACGCCAAAGGCACATTGTGCAATCTGGTCATGTTGCTATACCACCCTGCATTGCAGATGATCTTCACAAGCATGCAGAAAGCCTATCACCACCTGCAGATTGCAGCCATGCAACCTAACTTCGCCAAATCTATGTTGGCCTGCCGCAAATCTAGAGAGGAGGGGAAAAAAACTGCCAGCATTTCTCAATTTGAATGGCGAGATATTATCAGCCCTACTTGACTCTCCACCATTAAAACACCCTTTTCCAAATCAAATGATGCATAGCGTCATAAGACTAAATACTACAAATTTTGCAGGACCAGAACATCATGCCTTGTAAAAAGCATGCCCATTGTCAGTGAGCGCTGACTGAGCAGTGGTCGTCAATCTTGAACCTTTTCCCCGTTCAAGTACCACCAGTTGAAAGTGCATGGGATTTCTTTACTAGAATCTTTTTGCTAAATTTATGCTTAATTGCAATTTAGTTCCACTATTCCACCCTTCCAATCTGACATAAGGTAGCAAGTTGCAACAAAAACCATCAGCAGAGGACTGACTAGTCCTCCCACAATCCCACCAATTGTCCCATCTTTCTGGCCGTTACCACCCTTGATCAAATGCGCCAACCTGCCATCAAATGCATCACCACAATCCCAGGCTGGGAAATATCCGTCAGCCTCCACCTCATACTCCTCTCATCATTGAAAAACAGGAATCAGAATATGGGTTGATGTCCAAAGCAGAGATCACAGCATACCTCCATATGCGACACATCTTCTCTCCGGTCAATGAAAAATAGAGAGCTTCCACCACCAGGCTCCGGCTCTGTCTGTTGCCCATGGACATTTCACATAGAAGTCAGATGAATGGAATCAATAAACCGAAAAGGCTGTTGCAAAGGCTCAACTGTTGTCCAAAAAAATCCATGTGAGTGCAGACAAGCCAATGTCCATCTTTTTGTACCGTGAACTTGATAAGCAAAGCAAAAAGTTGCCCAGCAATAAGACATCATCAACCCTGAACACAAACGATATTGGCAGAGAAGTACATCCAATAATTGAGCTTCATTGCCGCAGCCAGATATCCATTTATTCCTCGTTCCAAATCCAACATCTCTATGCGTTCAGGACAACGGACATGCTGGTTCGATCCAAAATCCGGACATTTACGGATCATCTGGACAAGTCCAGATGTGCATGTCCGGATTCCTGTTGGGATGAGAGTATATGTCCGGATATTAAAAATAAATAAATAAATTTGAATTTAAAAAAACGAGGCTGAAAACACGTGCGGTGCCAAGGGTGGGATGTCCTGAAATTTTCAAAACGATAACATCTGTTGTAATCGGAGAAGAAAAAGGAGCAAGAGTGGGCAATAAATGAGAGAGAGGAGTCGAGGAAGAAGACGCCGAAGACGACAAAGGGGTTGCGGAAGACGAGGATGAGGAGACGGTCAAGTTTACAACTTCACGAAGAAGACCGAAACGAGAGAAAAAAAAAAAGTGTCTGCCACATGGCCCACGCACAGGTGAAAGAAGAGGAGGAAGGAGAGGAGGGGGAGGTTGACGAGGTTGAGGTTCTTTGAGGAGGAGGTGGAAGACGAGTTGGTGTAGGTGGAGAGGAAGGCGAGGAGGAAGAAAAAGACAATGAAGAACCGAGAAGGGGAGGGCAGAAAGCGCACAACGGGGAAAGTTGAGCAGGGGAATGCAGATGAGGTTGAGGTGCATTGAGGAGTAGGCCGAAGATGAGTCAGAGTACATGGAGAGCACAACACAGCAAGAAGAGGAAGAAGACTACGACAAGGAGGAGGAGGAGAAGGAAGAAGACAACCAAGGTCTGATAAGAGAAACAAAAAAGTTCACTCCTAGTGGCACACACGAGGGACAAAGACGAGGAGGAAGGGGACAACAGGGACTGAGACGAGGTCGAGTCTATTGAGGAGTAGGAGGGGGCAAAGATGAGTGGGAGTAGTTGGAAGAGTAAGACGAGGGGTGTGCGGCAGAGGGAAAGGAAGAGAACATTGAGGAAGAGGAGGGAGACTAGTAGGAGGAGGAGCAAGACGATGAGGAGGATCCAAGAGCATCCTCATACTTACAACCTTCAGATGAACATACAGTATGATTGCATCAAAAACTCAAAATGTTTGACTCTGTGCTCTGCGCAGGAGATTAGCTGAGCATTCTATCCAACTCAGACATCATCTTCGACAACAAGGGACAGACGTTGAATATGTTTTAAATCTTGACATTCTATAGAATCCCTCACCATGTCTACTAGACGACATCGTGAACGAACATACAGCTCATCATTGTCTTCCAATCGAGATGAACAGCAACACAAACAGTCACGGCCAGAAAGTGCTTTGATTCCTCCATCCAGACGCTTCACCACCACCATCACCACCCATAGAATCCTTTAGAAGAACAGCCAGTGGCTGAAAGACACTGACACTCACCCAAATTTTGCCACTGTGAAGAGGAGATGTAATGAAACGTCCATCACGAAGTGTACTCCCATTGCTCATTTCCGTGCCATCTTCGGTTCTAAATTGTGCGCTGGGGTAGCCACTCGTCAGCAGTGAGAGTTGGACCCATAAAACTCGACCCGAAGGAGGCACAATGCTCAAATCCGCTGCACAGCCACAACGTTTGTGCCAGTCCATTTTAAAACCCTGTCCCTCACTCAGCAATCAGTCAAAGCTGGGTGCCTGAGAATGCAGGTCCAGCAACCAATATAGCTACGGTCACATCTAAACTGGGCAGATCAAAAAAGTGGCAAGGATCCAAAAAACACAAACAAAAAAAATTCTGGCTTCAGCCAGGACTCCACTTGGCCCGAGAAATCCGGCCTCATCTTCCAATCCGATGATGGGTCACCTAGGGGGCCAAGGGTGTACGAAGTTACTACAAGCAGGTTTTAATTTTTGAAGGCGTTCAAAGAGAGGCACATCTTTATCTCGAACTTTAAGAAGGAATTCCAAGGTGCAACTCAGCAAAAAGTTGTTTGGAATGCAATTTTGCACAACATTGTTTTCAGGACTTTTTGCATCATTTTTTTTTCTCTCAGGTTTCTTATTTTTTTAATTTACACACAGGGGCCATGCGAATCGTTCATGTTGTTTTCAATTCTTGGGCGTACACAGATTTTTCAAGTTGTGCCAGCGAAATACAGTGTGGACTCGTGGAGCGCATTCTCAACTGATTCCTCTTTCTCTCGAAAGTCCTTTCTGCCGCACATTGTAAAACCACCACAAATAAAATAAGATCAATTTTGCAATCAGAAGAGCACAGCGCCAAACACCAACACCAAACATCTCACTGTTCATTACCAGCTGACAAGTAAAAACTAGCCCGACAGACGGGAAGTCCAGGATGCTAAAGCAAAAGCAAATAAGAGGCAGGGGCTGCGGAGGTTGCCCGCAGCCAGAGAGCACAGTCTTCTAAGTACACAACACACATCACACAGCACACAGAAGATGAACACGAAAATACAAGGAAAGAAGAAAGTACGAGGAAGGAGGAGGAGGAAGGAAGAAGAAGGAAGAGAGGAGGAAGAGAGGAGGAAGAGGAAGAAAGAAGAAGAAGAAGGAAGAATGGGGAGCAGGAAGAGGAAGAAGAAGAAGAGGGCAAGGAAGACGAAGAGGAAGTGGAAGAGGAGGAAGAGGAAGAGGAAGAAGAAGAGGAAGAGGAAGAAGACGAGGACAAGGAAGAAGAAGAAGAAGAAGAAGAAGAGTTGTGGAAGGAGAAATAGTGACCTGCAGGGTAACGACATACCTGGATTTGTCCAGAGCCGGCCAAGGGATCTTACATCTGACATGTCCTCTGTGTTTTCCGACAGAAAATAAACAAAACGCAGCGACATTCCACAACAACGTCAATGAGATTCCCGATGTTCCCAAATTGTCAAAAACTCCACTCTTTATAAGGACCCCCAGAGGAACCGTATATCACCACACAATGCCTACTGTTGAGGCTAGCTCAAACTAGACTGACAAGTCTGCATGTGGTAATTTCAAGAAGCACTGCAGCTATCCTTTGAAGAAGTGTATGCAGTCCACAAATATCAAATAAAATTCACCTTCTTGTCTTCATATTACTGGAAAAAGATTATATGGGGAATGTTCAACTTCTAGACGCACTACAATGCTAGCTCTTGACAGTTCTTTCAAGAGAGAACCCCGTACTTTTTTCACACCGCCACCAGTACCAAACGCAAACACATACTTGTAGCTAGACCAAGCACCCGAAACAAGTAGACACGCTGCGCATCCAAATCCTTAGCTCACCTCAGAGGATACATTCACATCCAATAGTCTTAGGGTCCGTGCCGATGTTTGTCTTTGGAGCTTAGGAACCAAGTTCAAATGACACTTTCATTACGATACCAGCACTAACTCTTGAACAAATGAAAGTGTATCCGTCCAACAGTTTCCCTTAACACTTCTTTCGAAGGTCTCTGCACCCGAAGTGCGGCAGCAGAGGCTGGGTTGTCCAGATCCTAACCTGGATGTCTCGATCAAGTTTCCATAACCTGAACATAAGGGCACACAGAATTAATCCGTAGGCTACCAGCACAAACTTGGACTACCCAAGTGGGGCATTCTGTATAACATGAGACACATTTCATAACAAACAACATGCCAAAAACCGAGCACACTTCACAACTCACTGCATCGGTGTCTCAGGGAGAAAGGG